ACGTTCGCTTGTCTAATTCTATTTATCTCCGCAAGCATCGATATCTCTCTTTTAGCTCATCGTCTTGTGTGGTCGTTTCTTCCAGTCGAACACTTGCAGCCCCTTGGGTACCAATCCGTCTGAAGTCCATTTGTCATTCGTCAGTGGTGCGATGTGGTCTGCCCAGTCATTTTCTTTCTTTTGAAACTGATACAGCATCCTGCGTTTCCGTACGTCCTTTATCTTCGTTTAGCAGCTTGTCTCTGAGGGAAATTTCTGGTAATCTACTTTGGCCTGCTGCCCAACTTCATTTTTTCGTTAGGATCAGGACTCGCTATCATATAGAACTGTTTGCAATGCTGTATTTTCATACAGTGTGGTGACGCCCTATTAATTATTTATAATTTTCTCTTTTCAAGAATGTCAGCGTTTCTTCTGTAGTACTCGGCGCCGTACGACGCCTTCTAGCAAGCTCTGGGCCAAGGAACTAACCTAAGATGATTAACTATTCCAAGTAGGCATACTTGGTGACTTCTTCAGTTGGTTGATCACTATAGCTATTTATATGAATTTTCATCATTCCCATCGTATTTGTCTTTCCCGTATTTATCTTATTTGTTTTTATCCATTTTCTAGTTTGTTTTTTAACTTTAGCTCATATGGCACAGCTTTAACTTCGATTGTTTTTTATATGCTATCATAAAAAATATTTTTGTATAAAACAGAATCTGTGTAAAATTAACACTGTTGAACATTGATATTTTTAAGGTTCATCAGCTACCTAAACGAAATTTCGAAACGTTGAAATTTCTAATGTATCATTTGCGAAAAATAGTTGCGTACAGTCATATCAACAAGGTATAATCGGTTAGAAGTTTTTCGCTCTTGCAGTCATTTACTTTTCTCAGATGGAAGCAAGAAACTTGGCGCTAATGTTCGGACCTTCGATTGTTCGCTGTGACGATGAGGACGCAAACAGGATGGTGTGGCACATGCAAGACCATTGCAATGTCGTGGAAACGTTCATAACTAACGTAAGTCACATGGCTTGTCTGTACAGAATTGGTCTAGTGGCCAAGGTCAAAAAAGACTAAAATAAATAACAAATAATATTAATTATTAAATATGATGCGATAACAAAAAAACTTATTTTTTCGACATATACACCGTTCATTCTGCAAGAAAGTCGTTCGCAGATGCCTGGAAAGCTATTCTTTGAGCAGCATCTTGCTCTAAATCTTACTTTTTAGCATAAATGTTATAGCATGAGCTC